ATATTGCTGATCGTTTCACGAGCATCTGAGTGATTCATTTTAATATTAATAATAATGGCACTATAGACCCCATTTGCAAACAAAAACAACAGTCAATTTATAAACAAAAAATCAGTGTACTAATGCTATGAATGAGGAATATGTTGATCTTCAACATTACCTATTGGCAGACTGCATATTTTAAGAAACTAAAAGCTTTCCAAACCTCCACCAGTTAATTCTGATTGCTTTCCTGAACATTCTTTTAATGTAAATAATGCTGTTAGGGCTTTGCAAGACAGAGAAAAAGAAATCACAAAACACTCTTTGATCTGAGTATTGGACTGGCTTCACACAGTAATTTCTCTAACACTAATATCTACATGCTATTAAAAATAAAAATGATATAATTAACAAGTCACAATTATTTCAAAGTTTACATTATGAATATCAAAGGTTTATTAGAAATACATTTCCCAAAGTTAACAGAACTTTCAGTAGATCAAAAAATAAATTAGGATAATAAAAGGAATATGCTATAAAATATGAATGCTAGTGACAAAATAACCACTGGATTTCATAAATATAAGCTCTGAAAAGTTAAATCTAAATACAACTAAATAGTACTACTATAATTACATTGTTTATGGTATTGCATTTTTTGTGTAATCCACTAATTATGATCAATTAAACTAAATGTCTGATTAATAAAAATGCGCATTAACATGACACCAAGCTGCTATGATCAAGCTTTCAATTCCACACTCATTTTTTCCACGATGAATTCTGAAATATCCATTTTCACCCCAAGAGCTTCCCCAAGAATTTGCAATGATCTGAAAAACATATTAATAAAAGGAAATTATTTACTTTTCTATAAGTTAGCATTTTTAAATGAAGACTTGTTTTGTAATTTAAGGGCATGTCATATTCACACTAAGCTACTGACATGCATTACTACCTATACAACTATTCCTAATCCTGCTTTGAATGTGATAACTCCTTGGATGTCACACTAACCAATTAGCTTCATTACTACTATGGTGTTACTGGCCTAGAACAGTCATAGAAGTCATTGGATCCAGAACTTGATCTGGGTCCAGGTGTAAATAAGTGAAGAAACTGTACAAGTAGCATGACAGCCAGAAAACTGCAGACTGTACACCAACATGCCGAGTCAGGGATTTAAAAATTAAAAACTCCTTGCCCTAATAAACATTTTCAGCATCCTCCTTTTCAAAGACAATTATTGTGAGAAGTGCCTTCCAGGAAAAGAGATAGCCCTTAGGCAAACATTTTTGATTGATCTGAGTTCTATAGCCTGTGTTCAATTAGCATGACATGTCTCTAGTTTTTGGCACCAAACACTGGCACTGTTAGATCTCTGCTCAAGACTGCTGAAGCTTTGCACTAATTGTTTGAGTACAGAAAGTTCCTCAAATGGCAGGAATAATTGTAAGTTAGGTTGTAATAGTTAGGGTACATTTCTTATACAAGTGTGAACCATTAATTCAGATATCCAGCATCTGCTGGAACTTTAAATATCAACTTCAAAGCAACAGTTTGGCCTTTGCTGATGCTACTACAATAACAGTAAATGTACTTATTCATTAACTTTTTTTTATTTCTTTATACTCTGTTTAAAAAGTGACAGCTGTCTCAATACAATATAAATATTTTGTGGCTGGCTAGTGTGTTTAAAAACAGAGCAAACAATTAAATAGTAATATCTAAACATAGATAGAACACAAAGATTGTCTCCACCTAACAAAACTCAATTTTTTTATTTTATTTGTACAGGCAGTATTTTTTATTTAATATAGTTAAAAAATGTCCAACAGTTAAAATATGCAGCTTTATCTGCCTTGCTTTTTGCCTGTTTGAAAGCATGTTCTTAATGTAATTGAAATATGTATACTGTATATGAGCTAATGTATCACTCAGAAGAATGTGGAATTGTGAGCTCACATTCGCTCTTGTGACTCAGCTGACCAGGGTCAAAGGCTAGGCATTCCATTTTGGGTTGTTCCTTATTCCTGCAGGGAACCTGCAAAGTGTTTGGCCAAGAATTTTCCATTCGTGAACTTTGTGAAATCTGGGGATTCACCACTAACCCATGGTAGCAGCAAACCCAAACCTCTGCCTTCTGTACAGACTTAAATATTTAATTTTATGGATTGTTAAAGTAACCCTGTCATTGGTTTAAAAATGTAAAAAAAAGTAGTACCTGCAAAGGAGAGGGGTTTACAAAAAATGGCCTGCCACCCATTCCTTTTTTTTTTTTTTTTTTTTTGTCTAGCAAAGCAATGGTCTCTTTACATTCATTACACTGGTGTGTTGAAAACCCCATAAGTTCCCACACACTACAGTTCTTTCTGCAAGCCCCTGCTTTATTACTCTGTCCTGTAGTGACGTGGGGTCAGAGGAAACAACCACAGGGCACAGTGGGCAAGGCAGGAATCTGAAACAGCAGACAATTGTAGCTTTTGAACAAATGCACTCTCCTTTTGAAGGTCCAGCTTCTTTACATTTTGTGTACATTTTAACCCTAGAACAGAGTTGGTTAACCCTAGGAGTATCAATAAATGTCTTTCTCGATAATATAATGGAATGTATATTTCAAACATATTGTTGTCTGTTTCTTTTTTGTGAATGTATGAATAGTAAATTGAAAGTAACCAGCACATTTAGCAAAGCAAGTATTTATGTCACAATTGTAAGAAAAAAGCCTCCTCTGGTATCTAGAATTAGAAAGAAACATTGGTGTTCCTGTTGTGGATAACCAAATGTAGCTATATGTCTCATGTATAACTAAAAATCTAAACAAACAGAAGATATTGAAAACAGCATATAGAGATGTACTGTAGTGTGCCCCAAAAGCACATAAACCCTGCCCTACCCACTCCTGCCACATATTAGCTATTAAAGCCACCCATCATAATAAAGGATAAAAATAATTAGAAATATTGGGCAGAAGGAGTTGGGCCTGAACTCTCATCCAAAAATACAGAATGCGATTTCCATAATATTACAGTAAGGGTTTAAATGTTCCTGGATTGCTCTATAAGCTAAATAAGCATAGACATCATGTTTTTCATTATCCTTTGCCTTTGTAGAACTTTAAATTACCAAAGGTTTATTATAAAAATAAAAAATATTAGCAAGAGGCACAGTAAAGACTTACGTATAGTAGCACATATTTGTAGCCCTTTAAAATTTTACTCCTCAGATGTCCAGTTGGTAAAACCAGCTGACAGCACAGTATATTTTTTGGGCTTCACATTGTGCTTGGTTTATAACAAAGCAGCTGTCCTATTTATGCACTTTCTACACCAATTTGTAATTCAAATGTTGTCATTGAAAATCATGTAAAATGCATGGCAAATGCCAGAGATGCATTTTAGATGTAACTCTAATGCTTCTTCTCCTTCTTCTCTGAAGATATTAGACAATGACCTTTGCTAATATAAATAAAACATTAGTTATAAAAAAAAAAGTTTATGAATGCATGTTTTTTCCAAATGGATCACTTTTACTAAAATATGGGTTTACATTTTTATAAGCATGTTTTTTCTTACGTCAGCTTTTAACATCAATATACACTCATATAGTTGTAAATAATAAATGTAGTCTCTTTCGTTTATTAAGTAAATTAATGGTTAATCAATGTTATGCCAGAATAAACTTACCCAGAACTTATCCTTTTCTGAGTTTCCTAGTGTCCCCCACCTAGAAAGAACATGGTGTGTAACAAATTACAGTTATACAATTATCAAACATTACCAAATAAAACGTTGCTTTATGGGTATCTCTTCCTAGCTCAGTTTTGCTTATGATAGATTTTGCTTGGCTATAAACCGTCCAGTTTCTCATCATAGTTCCATTTCATAAGTACTACAGGCTCAATTCACTAAGGGGTATTTTCCTCTTTAAAATCTGAGATAAAGTAGAGTTTTTCAAAAACTATTCAGCTACTAAAATAAGGCATGCTGTGTTTCATCAAAACCATTTGTGGTATTTGTTTCATGAAACCATTTGATATTTTATCTCATGGCGTGATATCCAGGATTAGAAGCTCTGTCAGTTTTTATTGCTAAATTAAATTAAGTAAATACAAAATGTCTTTATAAATGTCAAATTTTGAATGAAAATAGTATCAAAAACCACACACACATATAAACACCTTTCTTCCACCAATATAAAAGACAACATTGTATTATGTTAGGAGTGATTGGGCATTTTTTTGCAGCAAATGATGTACAGTGTATGCTGAAAATGAGTAAAAATTAAAAATTTGTGAGTTTTCACCCAAAAATGAATGTTTTTCAGTGATGTTACGTGCTCCAGTGGCAACTGCAAAAGAAACCTTTTCCTCGCTTTGAGGTGATTTTTGTTGTATCAATATGACAGGAAATACACAGACATCTCCTTAAAGTGACACAGACAGCAAAAAAAAAAAAAATTACAAGGGGCTTAACCTTTTTCCACTATATCCAAAAGTTATATATACTTTTAGGAAACATCTCAAGATGCATGTTATGATATTCCCAGGCAGATTTCGCAGCTCCTCCATTTAGTAAAACACTTTCACTTCCTCTATTTAAAGCAACTGTATCTCTGAAACCTTCAGCTTGCATATCTGTTCTAGGTCTGTATGACAGCATACAATGAATATTAATTGCAGCGCTAAAAATACAAGGAAGAAAAAAAATAATTTCTATACACTCAACATGAGAATGGATAGCAGTCCACTAAATCAACTGAATTCCATTCCCCAATACCTAAATACAACCTATCCACATCAGATGATATTAAAATCTTACATCTGTATAAGTCAGATTAATTATTTATAGGAATGGACTTCAGCTGGTTTAATGGGACTACTATCTAGAGATGAGCGAATTATTCAAAAATTCGATTCGGCTGATTCGGCGAATTCGCGGAATAAATTCGATTCGAGTCGAATATATTCGCTGTGAATTTAACTTATAAAAAGGGTGTTTCTAGGCTTCAGAGAGCCTTTATATTAGTCCAGAACACTGTACCTTTAATTTAAATGCCCTTGGAGTCTGCTGGGGAAGAGAAATAATACTGTCAGTCAGTATGACATGCAGATGAGTGCCGTCGATCTTAGAATCACCGCACACTTCACTCATTTGGGCAGTCACAGGGCCAAAACCAGAGTGTGGAGCCACAGTGTGGCGGTGGAGGCAGCAGCAATGGGAGGCCATACAGCACCCTATGAAAAAATGGAACCCACCAGCAGTGTGAGGAGACCTGAAAGTGGCACATGGCAGAGTGTGGCGATGGAGACAGCAGCAATGGGAGGCCGTACAGGGACCCATGACACACTCTGGACCTGGCAGCAGCATGAGGAGGCGGTACAGGGGCCCATGACAGATTACGGGGCCTGGCAGCAGCATGAGGAGTCGGTACGGGGGCCCATGGCAGATTACGGGCCTGGCAGCAGCAATGGGAGGCCCGTAATCTGCCAGCACCCTATGACAAAATGGAACCCACCAGCAGTGTGAGGAGACCTGAAAGTGGCACATGGCAGAGTGTGGCGATGGAGACAGCAGCAATGGGAGGCCGTACAGGGACCCATGACACACTCTGGACCTGGCAGCAGCATGAGGAGGTGGTACAGGGGCCCATGACAGATTACGGGCCTGGCAGCAGCATGAGGAGTTGGTACGGGGGCCATGGCAGATTACGGGCCTGGCAGCAGCAATGGGAGGCCGTACAGGGACCCATGACACACTCTGGACCTGGCAGCAGCATGAGGAGGCAGTACAGGGGCCCATGACAGATTACGGGCCTGGCAGCAGCATGAGGAGTCGGTACGGGGGCCCATGGCAGATTACGGGCCTGGCAGCAGCAATGGGAGGCCCGTAATCTGCCAGCACCCTATGACAAAATGGAACCCACCAGCAGTGTGAGGAGACCTGAAAGTGGCACATGGCAGAGTGTGGCGATGGAGACAGCAGCAATGGGAGGCCGTACAGGGACCCATGACACACTCTGGACCTGGCAGCAGCATGAGGAGGCGGTACAGGGGCCCATGACAGATTACGGCCAGGGCAGCAGCATGAGGAGTCGGTACGGGGGCCCATGGCAGATTACGGGCCTGGCAGCAGCAATGGGAGGCCCGTAATCTGCCAGCACCCTATGACAAAATGGAACCCACCAGCAGTGTGAGGAGACCTGAAAGTGGCACATGGCAGAGTGTGGCGATGGAGACAGCAGCAATGGGAGGCCGTACAGGGACCCATGACACACTCTGGACCTGGCAGCAGCATGAGGAGGCGGTACAGGGGCCCATGACAGATTACGGGCCTGGCAGCAGCAGCATGAGGAGTCGGTACGGGGGCCCATGGCAGATTACGGGCCTGGCAGCAGCAATGGGAGGCCCATAACAGCACCCTATGACAAAATGGAACCCACCAGCAGTGTGAGGAGACCTGAAAGTGGCACATGGCAGAGTGTGGCGATGGAGACAGCAGCAATGGGAGGCCGTACAGGGACCCATGACACACTCTGGACCTGGCAGCAGCATGAGGAGGCGGTACAGGGGCCCCATGACAGATTACGGGCCTGGCAGCAGCATGAGGCCCGTAATACTGCCAGCACCCATGGCAGATTACGCAGCCTGTGGTGTGAGGAGAACTGAATGGTGAGGCCACATGGGGTTACACACTCTGGACCAGCAGCAGCATGAGGAGGCGGTACAGGGGCCCATGACAGATTACGGGCCTGGCAGCAGCATGAGGAGTCGGTACGGGGGCCCATGGCAGATTACGGGCCTGGCAGCAGCAATGGGAGGCCCGTAATCTGCCAGCACCCTATGACAAAAATGGAACCCACCAGCAGTGTGAGGAGACCTGAAAGTGGCACATGGCAGAGTGTGGCGATGGAGACAGCAGCAATGGGAGGCCGTACAGGGACCCATGACACACTCTGGACCTGGCAGCAGCAGGAGGCGGTACAGGGGCCCATGACAGATTACGGGCCTGGCAGCAGCATGAGGAGTCGGTACGGGGGCCCATGGCAGATTACGGGCCTGGCAGCAGCAATGGGAGGCCCGTAATACAGCACCCTATGACACAAAATGGAACCCACCAGCAGTGTGAGGAGACCTGAAAGTGGCACATGGCAGAGTGTGGCGATGGAGACAGCAGCAATGGGAGGCCGTACAGGGACCCATGACACACTCTGGACCTGGCAGCAGCATGAGGAGGGTACAGGGGCCCATGACAGATTACGGGCCTGGCAGCAGCATGAGGAGTCGGTACGGGGGCCCATGGCAGATTACGGGCCTGGCAGCAGCAATGGGAGGCCCGTAATCTGCCAGCACCCTATGACAAAATGGAACCCACCAGCAGTGTGAGGAGACCTGAAAGTGGCACATGGCAGAGTGTGGCGATGGAGACAGCAGCAATGGGAGGCCGTACAGGGACCCATGACACACTCTGGACCTGGCAGCAGCAAGAGGAGGCGGTACAGGGGCCCATGGCAGAGTGGCGAAGCGTAAGCAGCTTAAATTGAAGGCCATACAGAGGCCTATGTTTAAAAATAATAACATGTTTTGGGGCATGATTCATGGCGGATTTAGTCAGTTGTGTCAGGAACTGGTGGTTTGAAATCCAGACTAATCCACGCCTGATTCATTTTCACAAACGTGAGTCTCTCCACACTTTGGGTGGACAGTCGTGTCCTCCGCGGAGTTACAATACCTCCTGCCGCACTAAACACGCGCTCCGATGCCACGCTACTGGCCGGGCATGACAGCCTTTCAAGGGCAAATTCAGCTAGTTGGGGCCAAAGGTCAAGTTTCGTTGCCCAGTAGTCAAGGGGATTGTCTACCTCGGTTGGCAGGGTGCTGTCCAAGTAGGCCCAAGCCTGTTGTTTTGAGGTCCTGCTCCAGGTCCACCTGATGCTGCTGCTGCTGCGGCGGCTGGTTAGTAGTTTCCTCACTGCGCTGGTGAAGAAAGCTACTCATCATCGACTGCAGACTGAGGCAGCCGCTGCTGGTGGAGCTGCCACTGCTCCTACCACCCCACCCCTCCCCTGCTGCCATGGCAGCGGAACGCGAGCGCACAGGGCCCACAGTGTCTGAGGATGGACGTTGGCGCAGAAAGGCAGAGACCAACTGACTACATAGGTGGTTTTTATAGTACGTTATTTTGGCCTCCCTCTCAGCAGGTGTGAAAAAGGCCACCATTTTTGAACGGTAGCGAGGGTCCAACAAGGTGGACAGCCAAAAGTCATCCCTCTGTCTGATGGTTATTATTCGGCTGTCGCTACGCAAGCAACCGAGCATGCTATGGGCCATTTGTGCCAAGGAATGCGAGGGACTCCCTGCCTCCATCTCCACAGCATACTGCCACGGTGCGTCTGGGTCCTCTGTCTCCTCCTCCTCCTCTACCAGATGCTCCTGCTCCTCCACTCCTGTCCGCTGAGTGGAAAAAACCACCCATTTCACTCAATAATTCCTGAGCACCAATGTCCTCCTCTACCTCCTCCTCTTCTTCCTGTCCTGCCCCCACAGGGGTCATGTGGCGTTGAGATCTGTGCGCCACGTCTACCGCACCCTGACCAGCCATTGTTAACAGCATTTGTTCCAGGACGTGCAACAGAGGAATGACGTCGTTCATCCCATAGTCCTGCCGACTCACGAATAGCGTGGCCTCCCTCAAAGGGCCTGAGCAAGCGGCAGGTGTCACGCATGAGCTGCCAATGGCTGACATCGAAGTTACACAGGGGAGTACCTTTATCCGCTTGTAACATCAGGAAATCGGTGATGGCCTTTCGCTGTTCGTAAAGGCGGTCTAACATATGTAGGGTTGAATTCCACCTTGTTGCAACGTCGCAGATCAGGCGATGCTGTGGAATTCCGTTCTGCCGCTGCAGCTCAAGGAGGGTGTGCTTTGCGGTGTAGGAATGGCTGAAATGCATGCAAGTTTACGTGACATTTTAAGGATGTCTTGCAGTGGGATGGTGGATTTTAGGAACCGCTTGACAACCAGATTGAACACGTGAGCCATGCATGCGCGCATGGCACAACCTTCCTTGACGCAGAGCAGACACCCATGTTCTTTCCGTTGTCGGTCAACATGGTTCCGATTTTCAGTTTGCGCGGAGACAGCCATCTGTCGATTTCTCTGTTCATTACACACTCAGAAGTTCCTCCCCTGTGTGACTACGTTCGCCAAGGCATACCAGGTGCAGCACAGCGTGACACCGTTGCGCCCTGCACATGTGATATGCCGGTCGGGTAATGGGACTTGGCACGGGGGTGGCGGCTGAGGACACGGCGGAAGAAGAGGTGGTAGAGGCGGACATCTTTTTGCTGGACCAAGGACGTGCAAACGTGGAGGCAAAAAAGCGGCGTGACCTGTCCAAGTTGCTGGTGCGGCTGTGCCGGCACCACGTTCACCCTGTGGGCCGTAAATGAAATGTACTGTCCCTGACCGTAGTTACAGCTCCACACGTCGGCGCTGCCGTGCACTTTGGCAGAGACCGACATGCTCAAAGACTGGCCCACCATCTCTTCTACATGTGAATGCAGGGCTGGCACTGCCTTTTTGGCGAGAAATGCCGGCTTGGCACTCTCCACCGCGGCGCGGCACAAGCCATCATTTCTCGGAAAGGTGCTGAGTCCACCACTTGGAAAGGGAGGGACTGCAGCACCAGCAACTTGGACAGGAGGACGTTCAGCTTCTGCACCGTCGGGTGCGTGCTCGCAAACTGTTGTCTCTTGGAAACGGATTCCAAGAAAGACTGCTGACGGAATCCGTGAAGAGGAGTAGCAGGAGAAGGGAGCATCTGAACGAGCGGAAGATGCCAACGAGCGACAACTCCCCCCTCAGCAGAGGTGTTGGAGCCTTGACTGGCTGATAGAGGGCGATTGACGTCGGGTGACGGAGCAAGTAAGGAGCGGGTGATGGGGCGGGGGCTGGGCAGGCAGAACCGCCGTATCTTTATCACGGTTTTCCCAGGCCACCGAATGGCGACGCTGCATATGCTGACGCAACGCTGTAGTCCCAACATGGCCCCCTGGCCACGCTTGACTTTCTGGCCACATAGTCGACATACGGCTACGTTTACTTCCTCGGGCGGCTTGACGAAAAATTGCCCACACCCGCCGAGTAGGAAACTTTGCCCCCGCTACTCCTCACTGGCTGACTGCTACTTCCTCCGTGCACACCCGGCACCACTACTGGCCGTGGTGGTAGGCTGCAGTGGAGCTGGTGCTCTACTCCGTGGCCGTTTGCCTCCACTGACACTGCTGCGACCCTGCTGCCTCCTGGGCAACCTGCGGTAACCGACTGTTTTGCTCGCTGCCAAGCTGGCACCCTCTTCTCCTGATGATGCGGAAGCAATAGCCTGATGACGACGAGGCTGCCAAGTGCGATCAGCCTCCTCATCATCAATTAGGGTCTCCGCCTCACTACTAGCCCCCCTCGGCTGCGTGTGGGTCAGGAGACAGACCTGTCTCTAGACCGACTACCGAGCCACTCTCCTCGCCAGTACTTCTTCGCCTGGCTGCTGAAGAGGCGGATGTCTCCCCCCGTTCCTGACCGCCCTCTGTTAGCTCTTCCTCACTGTACAGTGGGGCTGAGCCCACAGCATGCGATAACTTCGCTTGGTGAGGGAACACAAAAGGACAGGGGCAGGTAGAGGACACGTGATTTCAGTGGGCTTGCTCCCGGGCCATGCCAACTAACGGTTGTGTCTGACGTACCCACCGACCGTTGGCTGTAGGTGTCAGAGGTGACCTGGGAAGAGGAAGACGACCGAGCCAACCAATCGATGACGGCAGGGTTGTCGGGGAGACACGACCGCTGGATGACACCGGGAGCACTGGCCTCTGGCTGTGACTAGTGCTGCCTCGAACCCCTTCCTCTGCTGCCACGTCTGCTCGCTCCTGTGAAACATTGCCTCCTCTGCCACTCCTCTGCGTGTTGTCTGACATACTCTTTAATTCAACGATTCTGTGTCCCTGAGTAACGATTCTGTGTCCCTGAGTAACAATGCTGTGTCTGTCCCTGAGTAACACTTCT